AGCCAAATTGGATCGAAGCAATGGAGTAAATATCCTCTGACTTCATTGAGAGCATCAAGGCAGGCAAAGTAAGGAAGCTGGATACAGAACTCAAAGCTAGGGGAGAGGCACATGAAACACCAGGGGTCTAGAGAAGGCCCGGTTACAAACAGCATCAGTATTCTGCATGGAAAGGGTACTCCTTGTGTGTTCTGGCCCTGAAAGAAATCAAAAAGAGAAAGTACTTTTAATGACTAAAGCAGGTGTTAGATGGAGGTGTGTTTGGTGCGGAGAGGTGTCGCTAAATGGGGATTTTAAGGGGCCCTGGGTAGCCTGATGAAGTGGCTGGCATCCCAGCCAATAGCGAAGGTGTTGGAACAGGGGGATCTTTAAAGTCCCTCCCAACCTGAGCCATTCCATGAGTCTGTGATTCTGTGATTTTATGATTCCATAACTCTATGATCTGAATGGTGTAATTGCTGGAAGAATGTGTGAAGATATGCATCCCAATTTTTCTAATGTGGAGAAAGGCAAAATGATCCATGAGAACCCATCTTTTGTGCTTGAAGTTAGAGAGTTCCCTGGACACTGAATTGAAAATGAGTTTGTGGTCTGCTGTTTCGTTCCTTTGATTTCATACTGATTGAAATCAAAATGAGTATATTTACTTGTCTGTTGTAGAAGTATTTTTGGACAAACCTTCTATTATTTGAATTAGTAAATTTTGTCGATAAAATGAATTTCATGCTACCTAGCAGCTCTGACAGAAACCACACTGTGGAGATAATTCAAGAGGTAAGACTTGAAAGTAAAGAATCGATGTCACTTACTGGCTCAATAAACCCATCCTCCAGTTCCTGTTGAAGCTGAGAAGAGTTGCCATTTCTTCTTTAGTCAATTCAAAGTCAAAGACCTAACAAGAGAAAATACTGGAAATCACCTCTTTGAAAGAAATGGAGTAGCGTGAGGAAGAGAGACAGCAGATCCATTTTACGTCATGGACTGCTGACTTAAGAGATAGAGGACTGCATTTTTAATGAACACAGTAACTTCTTTATGAGCACTGTATATTCTATGTCAGGTTGATCTGCTGTGTTACTGATCTTGGCCTGCAAGCCTGCTCAGAATAATCCTTTAGTAGAGGTAAACCAGCAGATAGAAAACGTCCTTTGTTCTCTTCTGAGAAGGGCTTGGGAAGGCTGAGGAAGGACTCCTGTTTGCTCTGCAGGGAGAAGTGATGCCAGCTTACTCGTAATCACCCACCTTGGAGTTCTCCACAATGCGCTGTGGTGTGACAGACTTGGGGATCACAATCACGTTTCTCTGGATATGGAAGCGAAGGAGAACCTGCAGGAAGAGACCACTGAATCAGAGGGAAGACAGGTGGTGTTACCACAGAAGCTGAGTGTTCTCAATAGTGGTTTGCCGTATGTGCCGCCACTTTTATATAGCAGTATTTCAAGTCATTCCTGTCCTATGGCCCGGGTAGGGCTCCGTGATGAGCAAAAAGGAGAGTGGTGGGTAACCAGAATGGAGGCCTCCTCCCCAGTCTGGTTTGGACACAGTTTGTGTATTTTCTTTCTTGCTTGGACTTTCAGTAATTTATACGAGGCTGCCATTCTCTGCAACAGAACTTGAGAGGGAAAGAGATACCTGAAGATGGGTCAAGAATCTTTACTTTTTTTATGGCCAAAGAAGCAAAAGTAGCTCATATTGCGAGCCACACAAGGAACAATCTGCATTTGGGAATAATCAGAGGAGTGCCACAACTTGTAGAGAATGCGTTTACATTTGATCTCCTCCTCAGGTCTAATTTTTGTTAATGACAGAGTTATGGGAAGCAGTACCCACCGTCCAGCATCCACCTACCTGTGCTGCTGTTTTGTTGTGCTTGGCTGCAATCTCTTTAATCCTGGGGTCATCCAGAGGTAAAGGATGCTCTAGCTTAACCCTAAGCAAATATCAGAATGTCAGTGGCAAGAAACCTCCACAGGAACAGCCAGCGTAGCAATAGATATCTCTGTATCACGATGAATGATTAATGGAGTTGTAGTAGCGATAGTTCCTGCAAAATTCCTGCCAGCTCCAATTCAAAATTTCAGATATTCTTACCGTGGCCTGTCAGGAGAGCCCAAAGGACTGTATGCTGTCACAGCAATCCCTTTGGATTGACAGTAGTTGATCAGCTTCTCCTGTGTCAGGTATGGATGGCATTCAACCTGGAAACACAAAAGGATGCAGAGGATGACGGTGGCAGAACCACTGAGATATTGCTGTGTGCCAGTAGTTAACAATGAAAGCAGTTAGAGTCTGCCTTTTGCATCAAACTCAGCTCCGTTTTCTTTATCCTTCCAGAAACGTTTCATGAGGAAATACATCTGCCTTTGTGTACTGCAGTCCGTCAAGGTGCAACAAGTTGTGAATATGTCAGTGCTTTTTGTATGCAGAAATACACACAGAGCTGGATTCAGGATAAATGCCTTCTTCACATTGATGTCCTTTTCCATATCCCCATTCAACACATCAGATCTTCATAGTCAATGAACGCTGTATAAGGGGGGTCACTCATCATCTTACCTGGTTGTTTGCAGGCTTGTATTTCAGTCCTGGCTTGTTCAAGATTCTTTCAATCTGCTCGTGGTTGAAGTTAGAGATGCCAATGGCTTTTACCAGGCCAGCATCCACCAGCTCTTCCATGGCCTAGCAGAAAGAGGAACAAAGTCAACACCTGGTATCAAAGATGGATTTTGAAGATGCTCTTCTGTGGCACGGTTCCTTGTTTTCAAGAGAAGCACAAATTAACTATACAGATCTGCAACGCTTGCTGAAGAAATGTGGGTGCAAGCTGCTCCAAGCTCATAGTCTAACTCCTTGACACTGTGAAAAATGCATGAGGAAAAGGACAATGCTACTCAACAATTTGCTGCTGTACAAGCACTGAAGGGTTGTGCTCCTGGCTGTAGGTGATATCACAACCTGTTATGTCTTTATTCCTGCAAAATGTGTTTGAGCAGTACAAGAACTGCCTGAGGACTTGTGGTGCATTGGACCAAGCTGAGATATGGTTGATATGGTCAAGCTGAGAACTTCTTCCATCTTCTGCAAGGTCTGCAGCTTCCCTGAAAGAGATTTTGGCTCTCACTGTGATGTAGGCATGCAGGGATCCGTAGTGTGGAAGTAATGACCAAGCATGCAGCCATCTACCTTGTATTTCCTTGATTTCCTCCCAGGTAAATGTACATGTGTGAAAGGACATTTCGGAGAGTGTTGAATGCAATGAAAGTGTGGAATGGACTGTATAAGACAGAGAGAAGTGGACTGTTTCTGTGGTTGAACTTACCTCCCATGTTTGTAGGAGGTCAGTGTTACTGGGTATAATCATGCCGTTCTCATCTGTGGGAAACAGATCCTCTCCTGCCTGTGAGTGTGGAATAAAAATGTTTGTAACATTCCCTTTAGGGAAGTTAGATTTGTAAGTAAACCGAAGAGGAGCATAGGAAGCTAAGATGGCATTAAAACAAATGCACACACTTTAATACTCATCATAAGATAGTGAAATCTTGAACCATATTATCCTTTTAATTCAGGCAGGATCAGTGCGTCCTTGCCATCAATTAGATCTTTCTCTCCCATTATCAAGAGGACAGAAAACACCATGCACGAAGTGCACTTGTGGGCACAATTCCAGAGCCTGGCTCATATGGCCAGAGCAGAACAGAATGACAGTCCAAAGAGATGTGGTATTTCAGGACAGGAACAGCAGTGGTGCTGAAAGCATAGCTGGCAGCTCTGAAGATTCCACCCAAGAAAGCAAGTAAACAGAATTGCCATTTTACTGTACCTTGAAGCCTGAAGGCCAGTGGATGAGATAGAGATCCAGGTAATCCAGTTTTAGATCGGCAAGAGTTTTCTGGCAGGCTCCCTTCACCAGATGTTTTTCATGAAATGTGGACCACAGCTGGAGACAAAAAGCCAAGCCACAGTGTGATCTCCTGGGTTAAAGCTTTGTGTGCCGTTTCATAGATGACAGGAATGCTCCATCTTCTTTGGAAAGCCATGGGGAATAAAGGCATCTGACACTGCCCAGAACCTCATGTTCCTCGTGCAGCAGACGAGTGTGAGCCCCACTGCTGGGGCAAGAACTGTGGTGCTCCAAGGCACTGCCGCTGCAATGCTTGTCAGTTCTGGTTGTGCTTTGGCATCACGAGAGTGCCATCAGCACACCGGTAGTGCCGCTGTACCAACCCACTACCACATGTGATCTCAGAGCAGTTTGTCTCCGATTTCTGACTTTCTTCTGCCTACGTGGCCCTCCATCTCTTTTCCTGCTCCCCTTCCCCCGTGCCCATGCTGTGCAGGTGGTCTCTGAGCTCCAGCAGGGGCATGAGGTGCAGGGCCACTGCCTTCCTCATGCGGTGAAGCAATGAGCTCGAATCAGGAATGACAAGAAGGATGTTAGGAATCGCTTTGTCCTTCAGTGTAAAACTTGACTCTAAGCTACCTACTCCGCAAACAGCATAGGCAGAGCATTTCCCATCCCCTGCTTTGGGACGGAAGGACATCAGGTGTTTACCTTACTGACAATGAAGAGGTCCTCTCGTTTCACAACGCCTTCCTTGATTTTCTGCTGGATCCCATCCCCAACCTCCCTCTCATTCCGGTACACATAGGCACCATCGAAGTGGCGATATCCAGCATCGATTGCAGCCATCACTGCAGCTGTCACTTGTCCTGGTGTGGACTGAAAACAACAACAATTTCTTAAAAAGCTCAGATCACTGCAGTTTGAATACCTGTTTCCTAGCAAAAGAAGAATGGGAAAGCTACCTTACAGAAAGTAACCCTCCCTGATGTTATTTTTTTTGCAAGATGGGTGCTCTGAAACTCAAATCCCTCCTCCTGCCATTACTCTGTAGCTCCTCTCTCACACAGGCTCAGTCCCGCAGCCAGGCAGAGCAGAAGCAAGCCATGTCGGTGCCAGGGAGCTCTGCAGTACGAGTGCTTTTCTGTCAAGCTGTTACCTTCCAGGTGCCCAGCCCCAGGATGGGCATCTTGGCTCCAGTGTTCAGCTGCACGTAGGTCGACATGGCTCCTCACGCTGCAGGCTGGCTGTGCTGTGGCCGCTTCCTGCCCAGCCTGTTTAATAGTGGCTGTGCTGCCCCTGGGCGGGGGGAGGATGGTGGAGCTGCATGTGTGTTTAAGTTCTCATGTGTCCAGCAACAAGGCTCTGGATTAATCTGAGTTCATGCAAGTTACTGTGTAAGCTGAAATCAAAAGTCACAGAAGTTATCGTCAATGCAGGGCGTGCTGCAGCACAACCCATGGATTTTTCTTGCCAATCCTTTTTTTTCTAAAAGCATGGCTAGGGTGGCTGTGCCTGGCAGGTCTGTGCTTGTGCAGGCCCTGCTCCTCTGCACAGTTGCTGGAATGTATCTTGGTGGAGATTGACAACACGCTTTGAAGTTTGCCCTTTTTGTTACTGCCTGTTTGTGTTAGTGGCAGTTGACCCGAAGTTGCCCTAACGTGACTCAGCAAACTGGCTTTCCAAGCCATGGCAGGATACTGCTCACAGAGCCACTGCATGCTTTTCTGCCCTCATTGTTGCGGGGCTTGGCTGGATGCAGCGCCCACTCCTCTTCCCAGAGCCTGCAGCCCCACTGGTGACCTAAGTTGACCTGTCAGAGCCCTGTATCCTGCCTGCAGGTGTAGATGGATGGTGAGAGACACTTGGAGAATCTCTACAAATGCTGACATGCACATGGGTGAGAGGTGGTTTAATGCACAAGTCTGAGTGGGAATTGAGGCACTGATCAAACATGGCTGCTGATGTTCATGCTGGGCATGCATAGTAAAGCTTAGAAGTCAAAGTAGGTCCCCAGTTTTTTCAGTTTTGAGAGGACCATCTTTCTTGTAAACTGTGCAGAAAACTGCTTGTACTTCTCACTTGTCATTCTTCCCACTTTATTGGTACAGACTACAGGCATGTGGCCAGCGAAAAAAAAGATGACAAGCAGCAACATGATGTAGATGTCATTTAATTGGTATCACAGAGTAATGCATCCTTTTGCACAAAAGTAGCTTAGAACCCAGGTGATGGAATGAAGAGTATATTTTAATATTTGAACACACGGGGGCAGAGTTAAACCTGTGTGTGACAACATCTCTGCCGTGGAATTTCCTCACCAATCTCTTAGTAAATTGAATTGTGTATTGTATTATGTAGAGTTTATAGTGTTCAAAAGGTGAAAATCTTTCTTCCTACTTTTAACCTAGCAGAACTAGGTGAAGCTGAATGAGGTGTTTTGGTGACACCAAGATTGTAACTTGCCAACAAGAGGATAACTGAAGATGTGTGAGAGAAGAAAAGGGAATCAATAAAACTTTGAGACTGCAGTGAGCAAAGTCCTGGAAGCACTGTAGGAAATGTTGGCAGCAGAGCGAGGCAAAACAAGGCATGTTCACTATAATCCCCAAGTGTAATATGCTTACATTTTCTTCTCAGTCTCGTCAACATATAACTCTTGTGCTGCTTTATTATCTTGATACAAATGTCTTTTTATGGACACATATCACTTGAAGTCCATTGTATATTGCTTTAAGTTCGATGTATTCCTACCTACGTCAATTGTAAATATAGAAAGCAGTCTCCAGTAAAATGATCTCTTTCCTCCCACAGAGTTAGCATTAATTTTATAGCATCAGTTCTTGAAAAATTTTAATTAAGCTGCAATTTCCTTGTGCAGGGTAGGACTGGTTTCTGTGGAAGCCAGGCATGTCAACGTCTTGCATGTCTTCTCTGAAACTCCTGAAGAGTAACCTCCTGAGAATAGATTGGAGAGGTGGATTAATGCAAGACTGGAAGATTCTTTGCTGGATTTTCTTTAGGTCACAGCCTGCAAAAAGAGCAGGTGCTGAAGCAATAGCAGAGCCATATATTCTCAGTCATTTTCTGTGGAAGAGCGGGCTTTGTAGCAGAGAATGTAAGCAACTGAAATCAAAGAAGGACACCATGGCCGGCCTCCAACCCAGCTCATGGGTTGTGCATACTGAAAATTTGATCATTCCAGATGCATGTAACTGTCCAGTAAGTGTTTGTGGGTATGCATGGTCATCAAAGGAACAAGATTTTCCTCTCTCGTACACAGACAGGTATTCCAAAAGCTCATCACTACTGAGAATAGTGTGCTATTTTCTTTGCCAAGAGGAGGGTATTGTTCTCATTGAAAGATGTTTTTGTACTCCTTTTCACGTTTTAGCAATTGGCTGTGTCTAGTTTTGACAAGAAAAGGAATGCTTAGAATGCCTTAAGAGTGTAGGAAGTTATGTTTTCCATTTGTGAAATGTGAAAGTGCTGAAAATATTTTCCTCATGTTTGATAAACAAAATAAAATGAAGCACTCAGTAAACACAACAGGTTTATCTTGATCAGGGACAATATGAAAAATATCACTGTGTAATCTGTGCAGTGAGAGCTGAGAGGAAATTGCTTTATAAGCTGAACTCACTGATAACGGGGGAGCCCAACTGTTTTAACTGTTACTCAGGTTTTGTGAATGCAGCTGGACCCATGAGTGATATGAACCTGTAGTGGAGCTTGTGAGCTTGTCATGTCCCAGACCAGAATGTCTGTAACTTGAAGAGCTGAGCAGAGGTGTGGCCACATGTGGATTGATGCAGAAGCTGGGTACATTAATTTGGGTTGCACGTGCTTCCAGCTGTCCTAATAAACTAGATGTAACCCAGCAGCCAGAGGAACTGACTTCTCTGTGTCTAAAGTTTATGAGAACCCATATATTGAAACAGTTATGAGGCATTGGTCTGATAGCACAGACCTCATTTTGCAGTATCCTTCTGGAGGTACTAAAGCAACAACAACAACAAACAGAGATAACAGCTCCTGATCAGATACATGCTACTTCTGCAAATGCCTTTTTAGAAAGGGCAGCACCGTATTGCCCATGTGTTATTCTCACAGGTCCACTGGGCTGAGCTCAGTAATTTATTTGGTACATTGTAAATGTGCTCTTGCACAGAAAAGGTAGAGGTGGCAGCACTGAACATTTAAATAAGAATTAGATCTGTTCAAAGTCAAATGCTAGCTAGTACTTGTTGTTTTTGGGAAGCAGAAAGGCTTGTCTTTTTTTCTAATACAAAAGGGAGATGCTGAAATACAGGTAAATTATTTTTTCTTCTGTGAACAGCTAGAACTGATATAAATAGGGAATAGAGTAATTCCAAAGCAAAAAAGAATAAAAACCAGACATTAAGTGATTTAAATGAGTAGATTTCCATGTGAGTAAAACAGATATGAGATGAAAATTGGACTTAAGAATTCTGGGGAATTCGTTATCCTGCCTTCCCATCCAAGTGTGATTTGTTTGCATGAAAGGCAAGTCTTGGCTGCCTTTCCACTCATGCAGCTTCTTCATTATAGAAATGGAGGGGAAAAAAAAAAAAAAAAAAAAAAAAGAATTAACTTGTGATGTACAGCTGTTAATTTAGGGACTTAACTCCTAAGGTTGCCGGGGAAACAGTCCTGTAGAAGAAAGGCACGATTTTTTTGGCTTTTGTAAGTCAGGGGCAACACCACTGCATTCCGAGAAGCTGTGGTAAGGTAGAACACTGTGACTCAGTTCTGTTCTTTATCCAACCAGGATAAATACACAGAGCAGATTTTTTTATACAGGAAAGTCTTTTTTTGTTTTGTTTTGTTTTGCTTTGTTTTTTGTTTTTTTTGTTCCATTTAAAACCAAACAAAACATCAGACTTTTTTGTAAACTGATGTCTGCAAGAGAGCCTCATACCATGGAAATAAACTTAAAGCAGCACAGGACAAATCTTTGTGATTTTTAGAGTTTGTGAGAAAACAAGCATAGCAAATACAGATGGAGATAGCTCTCCACAAACACATCAGCAAATTTCAGGCTAACCTACACTGTAACAAGGGAGGAAAAGGTCTTAAGCAGCTCATTAAAGACGAAGCATTATTTTAATAGAAGGACATTAGCACAAGCAAACTTGAACATGTCTTTTGTGTGCTTGTCGTTCTTGCCATTCTCTAAAATTCTGGACTTCCCATTTATTTCGCTGTTGCTTGTATTTGCTCAGATTCGTACGTGCTGTAACCACGCTGTAGTATCAGCACTCTGCAGCCTGTTTTTTAATTAACTTATCGTGTCTTGACTAGACACCACCTGGCTGCTTGCTTTTTTTAGAGGAGCTGCTTTTGAATTATCTCTTCCCAGACAGTTTCTTACTGACGTCTGATGTCTGTAACATTTTGTTTATCGTGGGGGCAAAAAAAGGCAGATTCATCATGAGATTTCCCTTACTTTTGATATTGTTACAATAAATTAATCTGTACTTGAGCGAGCTTCCTAGTGGTGACAAACTCAAGATTAGTTTAAACGCTTATACACTCCTCTTTTACTTGAATAGATTTTCCTCCTAAGCAATGGAGTCAAAGTGAAACAAAACAAAACAAATAGAATAGTTTGTCTTCCATATGGATTTATGTTTTTGGTTTAGACTAAATGCGAAACAACTCAGAGGGGTGAAGCTATATATTTCCTCCATACCCAAACAAGATGAAAGCCTTGCTGTGTTTACAAATGAAAGCATGATTGCATAGGGGACTTTTTAAACAAAAGGTGAAAGAGGCCTTTTGCCCGAGGAGCTTAAAGACTAATTGGTGCATGAAGGAAGCCTCACTACTCTGGTTTACCCCCAAGTTTTAGTTAATAACAGGCTTGGTTCAAGATGTGGTTGTGTGATATATTGGCAGTAGGGGTATTGGGGTAGGCGTGTGATGAAAAATTACTGACACACAGATATGTTTGAGCCAAGAAAATGTCGAGAACCACTTGTCTGATGAATGCAAGATGCAGTGAGTGGCAGTAACAAAGAGACAGGTGGAGGACTGGTATGTCCTTACCTGATAACTGCTCTCTGAGCTCTGATGGAGACTTACTGTGCATGTATTACAGACCAGAGCTCCGTGTGTGAGAGATGCATTAAGCAGTTCAGGCAAACAGGACTGTGCTGTTGTCTCAGGGACAAGGCAAACAGCTTCCAGTACATTAATGCACGTAGATTTGCATGGGACTCAGCTAAACAAGTGGGTTTACAGATCAGGCTTGGATGAAAATGTATTGATATCTTGTGGACTTGCAGCCTTTCTAAGATTGAAAAAAATGAAGGTGATTGAGAAG